AAACAATATACACAATGGCTTAACAACGTAAGTAGAAGAGCAAAAACCAGAAAAAGGAATACTGTGTGATTATAATGGCCAAACTTGGCCCCAAAGAAGACACGAGAAAATGCACCGCTCCCCTTCTGTAGAGGTGAGCAAATACAGGTGGGTCATATTGTCCATAATGCCAGACTCGGTTGATGTGTTGACTAATTTTCATGAATCACTTTTCCCCCTCCTCTTTCATTCTTTGGGCAGGATGGGAAGAGGGCTATATTAAGAAATGTAGGTAAAATAAACAACAGATATTATTAACATTATGTGAAATTTAAATGAAGTGTTTCACTGGACTAACAAAAAAGTATTGGAAGGCTGAGGTGGGACCAGGTTATCTTTTTGGTTCCTTTTGTCTCTGAGATCTATGCTACTAAGGACTTGACATGTCTATGGTTTTCCTCATCTCACAGCAATTCAAACATTTTCCCATTAACTCCTGTCATACACCCTGTATGCATCCTTACAACAGAAAAGAGACCATCCAAATCCCCAAACAGGAAGTACAGATTGCTTCCTAATAGGCTACAGTGAGTACAGGGGCAGCCACTAAAAGGTTAATTGAGCTATACAATTCAACCTCTTTATGAAGATAAAACTCCCCTGAGTTCAATACTTGGCATTGAAAAACAGTGGTGTCTGTTTTACCAGAGCTATTGTGTTCTTTCCAATTCTTCCCTCCCCAACACACAAAGCAAACTGCAAAAATTCATTTGGCTGAAAGAAATTGAGATTGTCCCTTCAAGGGATCCATACCATTTTCTCAACATTTTTAATACAATTGTTAGAGTTGGGAAAAACAGCCCAAACAATCAATGATGAAAAAAATGTCCATTAAACAGGATGTTAACATCTGCATGAAATTTCAGCTCCTTATGAATAAGATTTGGGGAAAACAAAAAACAAGCCTAAAATATTCGCTTTTCAGACTTACCTCTCCCAACCTCCATTCCATCAAATCTGTTTATTACTTTAGTCTAATCCTTTTCAAGACAAAGGGGGGAGGGGAGAGAGGGTTCACTATTCTACTCCAATAAATCACAAGCTAAACCAGGAGGGAGGTGAACCCCAGGAACTAATAGACTGCTCTACAAGATTCCAGGAAATCCCATTCTTTTGTGGCTTTTAATGAACTGTAAAAGCTACTAACATAATAGGGCAAAATGCCTGAAAAAAAATATATAAATATAAATACACACACACACACACACACACATATGCATTCACTCACACATATGTATGCACGCATGCATGTATGTATATATACATAAATCTCCCTTAATCTTTAGTTTTTTAGTTTTTCAGAATTTTGCTATTCACACAGCAACAGCTGCTGAAATGCCAAGGAGACAACCACAGATTACAGATTAGACTATATAGTGAACAAGCATTTATACATACCTCCCCTCCCCCACACCCACCCACACCCCTCAGCTGCATGCTCCAAGGACCATAATTTAAACAGGCTACTATTATCTATCCAAAAAGATTAAGAATGGCTTTAGAAGACTGCAACAGTATATACATGGCCAGTTTTTTATGAACTGATATTGCTAAAGAACAAGAATTTGGCAGCTAGCTAAGCATAACCCAGTGTTCCTTAATTTTTTTATCTGGCAACCTTACTCCCAGCTATACCATTCTTAAGAACTTCTATAAACTCAAAATGCCCCTTGTAGAGTGCTCTTCGGTGTATTTCTAAGCATTAGGCCAGGGATGAAATCTATTCACCCCATTTACAAAACTACAGGTCCTATCACAGTCCCTCAAACTGCTAAAAAAAAAAAAGACAGTAGATTCAGATTATCTCCTGATGGAGGGTTAGAGTTGCAGGTGAGCTGCATGCAGAGATGGGCAGGTAACCTCATGTACAGATTAATGTCCACAGATTTGTTAGAAGGGACAAAGAGGGAAAAGTAGCAAGACTGTTGAACTGAAAATCCAGCTCAACATTAAACACCTACTCCCCATACTATTCTGTGAGGCTCTGTGGATACAGAGACAAGAAAATGAAACAGTACTTACCCTCAAGGAGCTTATGGTCTAGGGGAGGAACCAGCATGTACAGAGATAAATAAAATACAAAATGATAAATAAATACCAAACAAATACAAAATGACTGGGCATGGGGAGTGTGAAGGAGCAGGGAACTAAGGACTAGGGGAATCAGGAAAAGCCTCTTGAAATGAGCTCTGAAGGGATCCTGGAGCCTCGGGCCAAAGTGAGGAGAGTACATGCCAGGCATGAGAGACAGCCTAAGCCAAGGCACAGAGCAGGAGATGGAATGTGGCACAATGGGGATCAGCAAGGACTCCAGTTTGGCTTGGGTGCAGGGGGAATAATATGTAATCAGCCTGGGAATACAGGGTGGACTGAGACTGTGATGGATCTTAAAAGATAACCTAAGTTTGACTGTATGTCCAGTACTTTCTCTTTGATCCAATCCATTCCATTCCAGAACCAATTCACATGGAGATGTCCACATGACAAAGATGACTCCCCTAGAAGACCCCCAAAGCTGCAGTACCCTTGGGATCATGTAAAACAACTGGAATAATAAGCAAACCACTGAAAGGTGGCAAGAATCAAAGAGCTCTGATGTTGGAATGGCCCGGTAAGTTTAAAATTTAACATGCTGGGGAGAAATGCATCTTATACATAGGCAGATCGATAAATGTATTTTTTGAGGAATAAATAGGACTCTTTAAAAGGCTGTGTAGCAAGGGAGACTAATATGAAACCTGAATAGCCAAAAGCTTGCAGAAATGATACTCAGGGAATGAGCTCCAATCCATATAAAACTAGATAAATTTATTGCATAAGGGTAGTTTTACACATACACACTTACTCAACTAATCCTGAATTGTGGGCTGGTCTTCCAGCTTCTCATTAAGAAACAAACACTAAAACTCCTCACCAGTTATTTCATACAAGTACAATACACAACTAACTTGGACCATTGTATCCTCATCTGCAAGGGTAAAAATGCACATTATTTAAGAACTGCTGCTCATTTCTTTCACTTGAGTTTCAGCAGTACATTATTTACTCGCATAGTAATGACTATAAGGAAACTATAGGAGACCTCTTTGTTCGTGGCTTGTGGGTGTCTACACATATTTCCGTTTAGAGGTATCTAAATTTGGCCCTCCTCAGCTAAGAGTTAGATATGTAAGACATTAGGTACACCTTAACAGACCCTTCCCCTCAAATCTTTTTTCGCATTACTAATAATGCCCTATTTTAAAGTACATTGATTTAAGAATATTGGGATTCAGGGGACTCAAAGTCTAGTTTTGCATTTGCTCCTTGCTCTAAGTGTGACCTAAGATGGGTCATTTTCTGTCTCTGTACTGAACAACTTTTTTTTTTAATCTGAAAAAGAAAGGGGTAGAACTAGGTGATCTCCAAATCCCCTTTCTATAATTCCATTGTGCCTCATTTCACATCAGGTAAATTAAGTAAAATTTCTGCCCCAGTTTTATAGGGATTGGAAAGAAATGTAGAAACATGTTTAACCTCTCACAGCAAACATATCTCTGCAAGATAACCGGCCAGCAATAAACTATTCTGGCTTCAATCAGGCCTCATCCCCCACTCTCCATTCTATAAATCACTGCTGGCAGGTAGCTGGGAAGCAGCTGCTAAGGATAACTTTGCTCCGGAGTACAGGAAGCCACCTTTTAACCCGCCTGCTGCTGTTTGTCTCTGTGAACTGTGACAAAGGAACAGATGATATCAGCAACATGCCAACTGTGGAGAGGATCTGGTCAGAGCACTAAAGGAAGCCTGCTCAGATCCACATCGTACCAGTCATTTTAGGAAGGTGAATGACCGCTGTGGGTAGCTCTTTAAGTCAAATGGGGTCTCCTCACTATCTTGGGCACACATTATGTTCATTCTTAGCTCTAAGCCTTTACTCATAGGATCACAGACTTAGGAGCTCCAAGGGAACTTAAGAGATCATTAAACCTAACCCTCTCATTTTACAGATGAGGAGACTGAGGATCAGGGGAGGTAGCAGAGAGCAAGGTAAGAATATGAAGTCAGGTTCTTTAACCCCAAATCCCCTCTTCAAGAGTCCCCAAATGTTTCACCTCCTCCACAATTTTTTTCCCAATCACCTCCAGCCTTTATCAATTTGTCCCTTTTTTGAACACCTACCACATTTAATTATACAATGTCTTATGTATCTCAAAAAAAAAACACACCAAAAACAAACCTGTCTCATATCAGGTCTTCTTTACCTAATAAGAGGGCAGAGATTCTATGTCTTGTGCTTTTGTGTGATCCACAGCCTATCCCTGGGCTGAGTCAGCATATGATAAAATGCTTATGATTTGACATTAAATGACAGTGCAAATCACAGAAAGTAACTGATTGGGTTGTAACACATTTAATCAAGTGCCCTTCCCTTATCACCCTTACCCCAAATCTCTATTTTCTCCTGGTCTTTTGATTTTTAAAAGTTTGTTTGCTTTTGAAGTATAGAGACTTTTCTTTTTTTTAAACTTCCAAATTCTCTGCCTCCCCCTCCCCTCCCTACTGAGAAGGCATGGAAAACAAAATCTATTACAAGTATGTGTAGTCATACAAAACAGATTTCTATTTTAGCCATGTTAAAAAAAAAAAAGAATCAAGAAAAAGCTTCATTCCCCCAAAGCTACAGGAAGTATATTTAAAGGAAACAGAAGAAACTTTCACAAAGGAGGATCCTTTGGGTGCTGGCTTTGTGTGATATTATCTTTACCTATGACAGTACAAAGCCAAAAGAATGAGATATTAGAATGGATGAAAATGTGAAAGGATTCAATGATAGTATTGGAAGAAAAGAATCAGGTGCAGGCTAAAAGCGTTATCTCATGTCTGTAACTGGAACCCATAAATGGAATGTTTTTGATTCTTCATCCAATTATCTGAAGAAGAAAAAAAAACACCAAACCCAATGGACTAAGTGCACTTACTGTAAAAACGTCATCGTCTCCGAGCTCGGCTTCATTATGGATTGTTGAAGAAGAAGTTGTAGATCCTAGAAAAGAGATGGGAAAATAAATAAATGAATGAATGAATGAATGAATGAATGAATGAATGAATGAATAAATAAATAAATAAATAAATGTGTATATATATCTCTAAAGAAAAGTTGGCCATGAGGAATACATTATACTTTCAAGAATAATGTCAATTATTCTGCTATATGTTTCTGGCCAATATGGATCAACACTAATAAAATACAAAAAAACCAGCAAACATTTTATAATTTCAGTGACTCAAGATCCATGATTTATTTAGCATACACAGTCCCTTCTACTGATGCAGATTGTAACCACCTCTATTTTGGTAGATGGTCTCCATAAATCATGGTGGCCAAATAAGAGGCCACGCAGGAACCGACCCTCTAGTGATGAACCTCTCAGATCTAGGATAAACCTATCAAATGAGCCACCCAGTCCTATTCGTTACTGGGTCTCCAGTCCTTGAAGCTTATTGGACTGATAGACCCTTTCATAGTTTATGCTTCACTGAGAAAGCATTTGAGATCCCAAGGGTTACTGCTATGCCATGATGAGGAATCAGAGCAGAACTTTGCTTAAGCCAGTTAACAAGCAGTGCCAGACTGGTCATTAATGACCTGTTTGACCTTGGGCAACTTCTCTGGCCCTGTTTTCTCATGCAGTAGGATGAGGGAAATGGGTTTAATGATTTCTGGGATCACTTCCAGGTCCAAACATTCTAGGACTCTTAAAAGCCAGATCGTGCCAACTCTTATGACTTAGAAGTAAGGATCTCTAGAAAAGGCTGAGGATTGGATTTTTGGACCCTTAACTGCACTGCTTCTTCTGTTGATACTTAGGATTCTGGGGACTTATTTACACCCTGCTGTCTTCAGCTAAACCTTAAGGGCATGTCAGAAAAAAAAAAAGTAAAATCCCTAAACCCAGCTTATCTCACGCTGGAACAGGAATCAGCTTACAAAAGCTAAGTTTATTTACAACTTCACATCTTTCTTCATCCTGGTATGCAAGTGTATATAAATATTCTTGGAAAAGAGACTAAACAAAGAAGGCTCCTATTTACAAGCAGGCATGGCCTACCCTCTTTTCTTTTCCTATCAGGATTAATAATGTGTGGAGTAATTAAAATGAAGTTAGTGGTTGGCAAGAAAAAAAAATACAAAATTATCAGCTTTTATTCATTCTCCCTCCCCTCCCCTTTTTGTAAAATGATTAAAAATTAAGCTCTGACCCATTCCTTGGTTAGGATTTTCAGGAACATACTACATATGTGACCTTGGGCCTCAGTTTTCTTATCTGTAAAATGGAGGTGGGGGTGACTAGATGGCCTCCAAAAGACCTTTTAGTTATGGATCTGGGAGTCTATATTTCCTCCTTCACCAATATACAAAAAGATTAAAATATTCCCCCTAGGGGCAGCTAGTGGCGCAGTGGATAGAGCACCAGCCCTGCAGTCAGGAGGACCTGAGTTCAAATCCGACCTCAGACACATAAAACACTTACTAGCTGTGTGACCCTAGGAAAGTCACTTAACCTCATTGCCTAGCCAACCCCCCCGAAAAAAAAATTCCCCCAGAAAAGGTTTGAGGAACAGTTGGCTAAATATTCCAATACAGTACCTGAAAAGTACCAAAATAACCAAACAAACTTACATTTGGCACATATGCCCATCTCTCCATCATGATTTTAACTGAACATCAGAATTCCTCCCTTCAAAGCCCGCTTAAAAAAAAATTTAGTGGGGAGGCAATTAGGATTAAGTGACTTGTCCAAGGTCACACAGCTAGTAAGTGTCTGAGGCTGGATTTGAACTCAGGGCCAGTGCTTTATCTACAGTACCACCTAGCTGCCCCAAAGCCAACTCAAAGTAAGTTAGAGAGTATACTGACATCAGAGCCAAGCAAAGGATAGTGCCCAGGTAAATTAAGATGGAGCGGAATCCATTCCAGGTAACAGGAGCAGTCCCTGACTGCTAACCAAGTGGTGCTGTTCATAGATTCAGAGTCAGGAAGACCTGAAATAAAATCCTGCCTCAGTCATATACTAGCTGTGTGACCCTGGGCAAGTCACTTAACCTCTCTCAGCCTTATCTGCAAAATGGGGATAATAATAGCATCTACTTCCCAGGGCCATTTTGAGGCTCAAATGAGATGATATAGACAAAGCACTTAGCAAACCTTAATGAGCTATATAAAGTTCCCTATTATTAATGAGAGAAACAAGGACTGATGTCCATTTCATCACCAGTTTTGGAAGGTACTGTTTCATGCTTACATTTTAAACACTTGCCTTTCATGACAACCCTAGATTTGGAGAGTGAATTTTCATTTATCTGTTCAGCCTCCACACAGTTGCAGTTAATAATAGACTAAAACCCTTGTGTGCTTAAAAGAGTTTGAGGCCACGTACTTTTTTTAAAAGCTATGTTCACCCATCTTTTCCCACACCCAATAATGAGTGAAGAACATGCTATTATTGTTCAAATAGATTAAAAGTTTTTTTAAAAAATATATCTTCCACAGGAAGTTCTGATTTGGCTGTTCACATGTCATCCTTAGTCATATATCTTTCTCAATGGGAAGAAGCCAGGCTCTGCTCCCTGAATGGGCTTGAAGGCAGACAATTCCTGCAGTCTGTGCCTGTGGATCCTAGCCACCAACCTTGACAGCCATGCTTAGTAATCTATTGCAGGCAACCTTGAATGTCATGAATATGACATGATTCAATAGATAATATTTACTCATTTTGGATTAAATCTGTAAGCTTGATGCTATTTAGGGAAAAACAAAAAAAAAGTAGAAAACAAATTTTCTCCTTAAAAAGTAGTTCTGTATTTAATTTTTGGTTTCATTGAGAAGCAAATACCACTGTACTGCCCATGTCAGAAGAAAAAAAAAAGCAGAGTTGTTTCTGAACAATAACTTTAATTTCATCACTTAAGTGAAGGGAAAATAAAATCAGTAGAGTGTATTCAAAGGACAGGTAGTTAAAGTATACAAAAGTCACCCTCCTCCTCCTCTCTTTACCCAGGAGTTTTCTTTAAGGCACAAGATTGTCATTAATCTACAATGCACCAAACAAGTTCATCATCGTGCCTAATATTTTTGTGTAATGTTACCCCAAACTACAAAAGTCTACCTCCTGAGAATATGTTGAAGCAGAATGAAATAAGAATCCAAAGGGAGAATAAGTACCAGATTGTGGAGGTCCCTGAATATTAAGCTAATGAGTTTGAACTTGATAAACAATAGACAGTGCCACTAAAGAGACAGGAGGAATTGAGGAAGGATGGGGGAGAACAAGTCATTTATATAGCTCCTACTATGTGCCGGGCATTTTGCTAAGTGCTTTAAAACTATCATCTCATTTAATCTTCACAACATCCTATGAGGTAGGTGTTGTTAGTATCCCCATTTTACAATGGAAGAAACTGAGGCAAACGGGGTTAAGTGGTTTGCTCAATGGAAAATAAAGACAATTTGCTGCCATCAATGTGAAGGATGGATTAGGGAGGAGAACAAGAATGGAATTGGTTAGGAGGTTATTGTGGCAGTGTAGACATGGGTGGTAGTAATGGATGAAGTGTTAGCAGTGAGCATGGAGAAAAGGGAATAAAGGTGAGAGATTTGGGGGAGGCATATTCAAAAGGATTTGGTAACTGATTGCATAGGAGAGTTGAGGCAGAAGGAAGACTCAAAGACTGGTCATCACAAAGGATGTGATGCAGGAGACTGGGTACATGGCAAAACCACTGACAGAAATGCTGAAGCTCAGTGCTGAGGGCTTTCCATATCCATCAATACAATACCCAAGGATCTGAGATGTCATTAGTGCTGGACCGCCCTCCACCAACACAACATAGTAGACAACTTAATAGATAAGTCCTGGGGAGTTATCTGAAGCTCAGAGGATTTAAGTGACTTTGTGACCTTGGTCATATAATTAGTAAGCATCAGGGAAGATTGAGTTGAATCCAGACCTTTCTGATGATAAGTCCCCCACTTTATACCCCACTTTATACTACTTTGCTTCAAATAGTAGAGGATCTTTGCACATAGTTAGCAATTAATATGTGTGTTAAATTTTAATTTGAAATTCAGATTGGATGTATTAAGGTCAAGGTAGACACCTGAGTGGAAATGTCCTATAGTCAATTGGAGAAGCAAATCTGAAACTCTGAAGAGAGGTCAGGAGCGGACAAGGAGACATAGAAGTCATGTTTGTAGGTGCAGTAGCTAAAAACCAGGGAGTTAAGGAAGAGAATGTTGAAAAGGCCCAAGACTGACCAGTGGTGAACATCTAGAGGCAGCAAGCTGGGGCAGTTGATGGAAAGCTGGACCTGGAGTCAGGGAGACCTGGGTTCAAATCCAGCCTCAGACTAACTGTGCGGCCCTCAGCAACTCACTTAAACACTCTTTGTCTCAGTTTTCTCAACTACAAAATGGGGACCATAACAGCACCTACTCCCCAGGGCTGCTGTGAGGATCAAATGAGATATTTTTGTAAAGTGCTAACTATGGTGCCTGGCACATAGTAGGTGCTTGCTAATGCTTGTTTCCTTTCTCCATTCCTTTATCTTCCTTGAGAAGTCAAGAAGACGGTAGAAGACACAGCAAAAGAGAAGCTCAGTAAAAGATGAAAGAAGAACCAGAAGAACATTGGTGTTTCAGAAACTAAGGTAGAAAAGATTATCCTTTTCTTGGATGTCTGCTCAACAGAGTCAAAAGCTAAAGAGGGGAAAAAAGTTTAAGGTCTAAAAATTGGCCATTGGAATGAGTAATTAAAGAGTCTGTTGGTAACAGCTAAAGATGAATATTATGAAATTACAAAGAATAGGCTTGGCCTTTGCAGAGTCAAAGGAGTCCACGGATATGGAACATTGTAGAAAATAAGGGTTGAGGTTTTTTTGGGTGGATATACTGGACTCTATCATGGTGCCAGGAACCTAGTTATCAGGAGATCAACTATCCTTCAAGAAAGCAACAGCCTTAGTACTCATCAGTACCCTCTGATTGGAGCCCTGAGCAAAGGACTCCTTCCAAAGCTCCCACTTTCCACCTGGCTGTACTTCTTTGGACTGAACTCCATCATGTCTCCAGACCATCTTCCTCTCCCTGCTTTTCAATTTCCTTTTGGGTATTATCTTTTCCCACTAGACTCTTAAGTTTCTTGAGGGCAGGGATTGTCTTTCTTTTACTTATTTGTATCCCCAGTGCTTGGCACATAGCAGGTGCTTAACACATGTTTATTAGCTGACTGACTACTAATCAATTTTGTTAAATCCCTTCAAAAAATGTTATTATGATGGCGCTCCGGGACTGGGAAAGCATATGGGGAAATATAGGTGTTTTTAAAAAAATCTTTTTTTTAGAAAAAAAGCTTGTTGGTGAGAACAATTTCACTTAAGTAGTAGAATTGGAAGTTAGACTTAAGAGGTGGAGAAGAGGGTATGAGACGAGTATTAACTATCTGGGTGGCAAGTCCCTTGACTTCTCTTGGTCTCAGTTTCCTCAACTGTAAAATGCTGCAGAGAAGGCAAAGAGGGATTGCACTAGATGACCTAGGTTCCTTTCCATTTCTAAAATTCTATGATTCCTACTCTTTAGAATGTAGAATATAAAAGGTGACTATGAGTAGTAAGTTAGGTGCTAAAATTTTTAGCTTTATTTTAAAATACAGTGTTTTTTGTTAATAGATTCACAGATACAAAAAGTTGATTCATTCTTCCCTGTTTTTTATAAACCAGCTAGTATGTCCCTTTGGAAAACACAAAGGTTACAAGACCAATAAAAATCAAAATTCCTTTTTGTTGCTCTTCCAGAGAGAAGAGATATCCGTAAATTAGCAACCAATAGGATGTAGGTCTGTAAAATGTGGGGGAATGGATTTGACAACCTCTAAGGTCCTTTCCAACTCTAAAATTAAGATAACTAATGAATGGCATAGGCTATATTAGTACTTCTTTACATTTTTGCCTCAAGGTTGTCAATATAGGAAGGGGTAGAAGTCATTTAGTCCATGCCTCTGCTTAAAAGGAATGCAGCACAAAATTATTTTAAATTAATGGATATATATGGGTACCTCATAAAGTATTAAATACCTTTGGGAACACAGGTTCCTGCAAATGTTAGTATATAACACAATGGAAAGAGTACTGTATTTAGGGTTGGGGACCTGAGTTCCCATTCCAGCTCTGCCTTTTACTACCTCTGGGACTTTAGGAAAACCATTTAACTTATCTGGGCCTCAGTTTCCTCACCTGTAAAATGAGGGGGGGTTGGACTAGATGACCTCTGAGGTCCTTCCTAGTTCCAAAATAATGAATAAATTCTAGTTCCAAAATAATAAATCTATGATTCATTACCTTCTGAGAATGGTGAGATACTGGATCATACCTGGGGCTAAAGTAGTCTAGATTTGGAAGGAAGGAAACAGCATTGTGCTAAGTACTTTACAGATATTATTTCATTTGATCCTCACAACAACCCTGGGAGACTTGTGCTATTATGTACTCCACTTTACAGTTTAGAAAACTAAGGCAGATAGAGGTTAAATGACTTACTCTGGGTTACAAAGCTAGTAAGTGAGGCTGCAATACAACTCAGGTCTTTCTGACTCTATAGCTAAAACTATCCAATCTGGCAACAGCTGCCTCTTAGGGTACAGTGGGAGAAGGGAGACTCTGTCCATTCAAAAGCTAACAGATACTACTGGACTTCACTCCTGGAGTGACCATAGATGCTAGATACTCTATGGACGTATACAGGAGCTGTTCCAGAAATATCTATTGGTTGTTTGATTGATCAATCTCAGACTAAATCAGAATCCAGGGAGGCAGGGAATAAATTGCTGGATCATTTCCCAGAAGCTTAGCCTCCTGGAGCCTTTTCTTAATAGAATATGACTGTGAATTTGTTTGGAGCCAATTGGATATACCCCAAAAAAAGGCATTTTGGGGACAGGACTAAAATAAATTTGCATAAGGAATTCATTTCTAACTTCAACACATTCACTTTATCAAGAGCACTACCTGTTTTGGTTAAGTATCCCAATATCATGAGTAGCAGTTGCTAAAAGGTCTTCCTTCAGTCTCAATGACTTCCCCTTATCATAAGGCCTGTTATCTTTTTTGCTTTGGGTACCTCACTACAGTATCTCTCCCCGAATCCATTCTTATTCTCTGGCTTGATTCAAGATTTAGGCCAAGTATCACTGCTTATGGGGAACGTCTCCTAATTTCCTTGGTTGTTTATGCCAGTTCTGACATAGTGCAGCTGGCCCAGGAGAGTATAAACTCCAAGAGGGCAGGTCCTGCTTTTTGTTTAATCTTTGTATATCCAATGTCTAGGAATAGAGCTTTGCAAAAAGTGAGCATTTAATAAATGTTGGTTGTACTGGATATCAAGTCTTTGCATCTAGCCATCTGATCCAGTTCAAGAGCACTGCCAAAAAATACTCTTCAAGTAAAAAGCAAAACAAAAAACCCCACACAAAAAACCATCAAACCCCCCAAAACCAAAACATAAACAAAAGCCCCATGACCCCAACAAACAGCATTATAAATTTTTTTTTAAAACTTGAAAATTCACACAACCCAACTACGAAATTAGCAGAGTCCAGTTGGAGAATCCAGTACCTTCAATCAGGTCTTCTATTGCTTTTCTCACTCCTCTGTCAAAGGCTCGTGCATCAGCTGGGCTTTGGAAAGTAAGCCCAAACTTTCTATTATCAACTTTCCAATGATGAAATGTTGGGTTTGCTTTCGTGTAGACCAAGTCTTTTCTTACATAGCATTCCAATACCACCTAAAAGAGTCAAATACATGGGGACAATTATAAGTGTTATTGTTTCAATTGGGGTCTAGAAGCCTAGTTATGAAGAGATGGCATTGCGGTCTTCTCCCTTTAAACTACAAAACTTCAACAATCTTAAAAACTTTAACAATATCAAAGCCATCTTTATTCCTTGTTTCTTCTCTACCTGCTACCTTGTTTCTCTGCATGCACTGGCTACCAAATTTCTCAAATGAATACTTTTAACAGTTTTCTCACCGCTCATTTAACTGCAATCTGGCTTCCTTCCCTGCTTCTCTGCTTAAATTAGTCACCAATCAACAAATATTTATTAGGCCTCTACTATGTACCAGACACCCTGCACTCCACAACGTCTACCACCCTACCTCTCCCAACTCAAAGACATTTTCTTTATCTTTTTGGACCATGTGGCATAATAGAGTTTCTTGGAAACAAGAAAACATGGCTTAGAAACCCTGTCCTTGACCCTTTATCATCTGTATGGCCAAGTCACAACCTCTCTGAACCTCAGTTTCTTCATCTATAAAATGAGAATAATACTAGTAGTACCTACCCTCACAGGCTGTTATGAAACCCACATGAGAGATAATGTATGTAAAGCTCTTTTGCAAACTTTTAAGTACTATATTATTATTACTGATCTTTCTACTGTATTTGAAAGTGTTGACTTAAAATTCTCTCCTTCCTTGGCTACTGAGATACTGAATTCTTCTGGTCCTGCTTAGTTCTCTATCTGCCCCTATTTAATTTCCTCCATAAGTTCTCATCTTTCTCCTATTTTCTAACCAATTACTTCATCTAGTCTCAAGGTTTCAGCTATCACCTCTCTACTAATCATCCCTTCTTATCCTTTACAACTTGCCTTTTCTTCAGAGCCAACTTTCTATTGATTTGAATGAAGCGGTCAAATTCTGTCCGTTTAAAAATGAATTTGCTATCTTTTTTTTTTCTCCTTCTGTACTTGGTTTTGATCTCTGTCTTTATTACATTACTCTTTTATCCATTACCCAGGCTCAAACCTGGGAATCATCTTTGCTTTATCCTTCTCCTTTATGTCCCCATATCCAGGTAGTCACCAGGGCCCATCAATATTTCCTATGAAAAACCTTTTGTAACCAGTGTTTCCTTTCCATTCTCATCGATGATTTCTAGTTCAGGCTCTTATTACTTGGATGCTGGACTAAATAGCTTTCTAACTGGTATCCCTGATTCTAGTAGTTATCTCTCCTTGAATCTTATTATATCATTTTATTCTTTCTTTTGCAGTAAAAATGGTACAACAGATAAAGAACTGGGTTATTTCTGGTCTCTTACTAGCCATGTCAACTAGGGCAAGTCATGTAACCCCTCTGAAACCACTTCCTCATCTGTGAAATAGGGATGATAACTATCCAATTGTTAAGATCAAATAAGATCATATATGGGAAATGCTTTGAAAGCTATAAAGCCCTGCAGGAAAAAAAATTATGATAATGAATCAGGATGGACACAACATCCTACAAATGCATCATGCTCAATCTTGATTCTGGGCAAACTGTGGATCCTGTTATATGAAAACACTTTCTCCTCTTTGATTCCTACCCATCCTTCAAAGCTGAGCTCAAGACCATCTCCCTAATGAAACCCTCCCTGACTAGCCTAGCCTTCACTGATTTTCATTTCCCTAAGAACTAAATAGGATCACAAATTTGAGGCTGGAAGAGCCTTCAATGTCACCTTGTCCAAACCATTTGTTTTATTGACAAGGAAAGGGAGGCCTAGAAAGATTAAGTGAAATTGCCTAATGTCACATAGGTAGTAAGAAAAGAGATGAGATTTTTAACACGGATGTTCTGCTGCCAAATCTGACACACTTTCCATGCTATTGCTAGCTGCCTCTAACATTTTGATTGTACCACACAGTTAAGACTTTCTTATGTGCTCTCACATCTTATTTTACAATTGTTTATTGTGTATTAACTTCATGTCCCTAAGCAGGTGAGCTCTTTGAGGATGGGCCATTTCCAAGCCTTGGTTTATATTCTACTGTTTAGCATGATGCTTAACACATAACAAGTACTCACTAAACACTTGCTGACTGAATAAATGATAATCTTCTAAAGTTGTTTTGAATAAAGAACCATTTTAAGTGGGCAAAAGAAAATTTCTCCTTTACTGTTGATCTGAAAATTCTGTTTTCTGCCATAATGTATTAACATCTAGATATTCTGAATACCATGAAGAGTTTGCTCAACTGCATAATCTCAATACCACATTGGTCATGATCACAACAAAAAAGTAAAGAATTAATTAGATGAACTAGGGGGAGAGGTAGAATTTTGTCTGAATTTAATGTAAAGAATCAACTATGAAAAAATTTTAAAATAAGTACAGTCATATTATTTTAAAAACAATTCAAGAGTGGAAGGGTCTATAAAATTGATAATTGCTAAGAAGATAACCCACAATAGGTCAAATAGAAGCCCTCCTTGAATAAGATTTTTTGGTGGTAATTTAATATATCAACAAACCAGGACAATCAATCAAAGCTCATTAGAGCTGAAAGAAACTTTTCAGAGGAATTAGTCTAGCCTCCTTATGCCAGTGATTAGAAAAGTGAGACCCAATATGGCAAAGTAGCTTGTATAAGGTCATGCAACTAGTGGCAGTGGTTGTGTCAAGAAGCCTATGATCTAGTGTACTATCCTTCTTGTTATCTATAATTATCTATTTTCTGTAATCAAAAGTTTATTGCCATAACTTATTAATAAATAAAAAATTCTAAGGTGAAATTTTTTTGGGGGGAGAGTGATTTCATCATTTTTATCAAATGAGATGTGTGAATCACTCAAAACTTAAAAGTGCTACACACACATACTGTTATTATTATCACTAATGCTAACAACATGATATGAGGAAATGCCTTCCACTGATAGAGTTCAACAACTCGTCTATAATTCATAGTCTTAAGACAGTTTTGCCTGGGACACTAAGAGGTGTGCACTTAGCCTTATCAAAAGCAGCACTTCTTCCTAATTCCAAGGCTAGCCCTCTCTCTGCTGGTTAATGTTTACTACTATTTTTTAAACTTCCTAATAAAGCTTTTTAAAATCTCACATCACCACCTATTTTTCCTGAGTGCCTACTATTTGCAGAGAGCTTTGCTTGGCATGGAATAGGGAATGCAAAGGGAAATAACTTTAGCCCAGACCAGCCTGTGTCTGAATAATAATAAATTTAGAATTAAAGAAAGTCCAAATCAAGGATTTTTACTGTTACAAATGTCTGTGCAATTTTAAAATTTGCAAAAGCCTCTAGATGAAGTCTTTCAAAAAAACAAACTAACTAACTTTACTAACTCTTTCTTCCCTTTACCCATAATTTCTGAGGGAAAAAACCTATCTTTTGGTTGAAATTTTCCATGCTTAGATTTAACCCAAAGGTCAATTCTCCTCGGAAACTTTAAGCTGAAATTGGTCCAGTCATCTGAATAATGTGAACAGAAAGGGAAAAAAAAATCCACTATAATAAGCAACAGTTTCCCCTTTGAAGAAGAAATAAAATTAGCTTAAGAAATTGGGACTAATTTAATGACAATAACAACAACAACAACAATAATAATGATGAAAAAACTGGATGTTATGCCCATTATGTGCTATGCTATGTTCATGCTACCCTCTGTGCTGGCATTCCCCTTCTCCTTTGGCCTACTCATTCTTTAAAGCCTAACTCAACAACCACTTCCTTGGTCCCATCAGTTTCTCTTGGTACCTTACACAGTCTGCACCAACCTTGTGCAGGTGCTATGCATTATTCTGCCACAGTACCTTGCACACAATAGGTGCTTAACACGTGTCTGAATTGAAACGTGTGTATATGTGGTACAATCCTGAAGCTCTTGTCCCCATCCCTCCAGGAGGGCAGCTTTTGTCACATCTAAGCTTTCCCAGAACAACAACAGAACTCTATGTGTAGGCTTGTTGGTGAATGGACAAGAGATACCCTTTGTACAATTAACACTAAAAAGGACATTTTAGTAATGATTAATTATCAAGTTAATATAAAATGTAGAAGGGCAGCCAATGCTAAATCTTTACTGAGCACCTTTGTTGTACTGCTTTGGCATGCATACACACACACACACACACACATGTCTATGTATATGTATATTATACACACACACATATATGTTATATGCATATAATATACACACACATATAAAAATGTTAGTTTACTTTAAATTAAGTTACATGAGAAATCAAGATTTTGAAAAATAAGTTTTAAAAATTTTGAGATAAACAATTTTTTTCCTTTATCAATCATTCCTGTCAAACAATTCCTTTAAATCAATGACCTTTAATATTTCTGAAATAAGTTTCCATTTACAAAAATTCAATTTATGTACAATGAATGTTTCAGTAATAGAACTATCACTTGAAGTAAAGGATGCTGGCACTCAATGCTTATTAATAAAAGCTCTCAGAACTGTCAAAATGTAAATCTTTTGACCCATAGCTCAAATTGTCTCTCTCCTAACTGCTTTTAAAAAAGGAAAAGTGACTGCAAAGGAACATTCAGATTGCAAATTTAGCACATATAAAGATCAAGCATGCAAGTGTTAATATTCTCAGAATAACATTAACCTGCTCATATTATGTACATTATACATACTTCCTATGTAGCACACAGCACTAATTGAGGATGTGTTGAATATTTTGAATCTCTTCTGGCTTCTGAAAGTAAATTTCCAGTACATAATACAGGCAACAAACATGAAGAGTGTTAAAGCTGCCTAGGAGAACTTCATAGCTTTTTCATAAACAGTATTGCTAATTTAAAGTAGATTTTTGCATTCAACATATTTTTAGTTTCTATAACACCAAAGTACCTTCTTCAAAGAATCATGGGAGGAAGCAGATGCCAATAGAAGGTTGATTTGGCTAATTTTCCTGTTACTGCTTTTTTTCCCTCCAAAACATGTTTTATTCATTAATTTTGTGCAATAAAAGCTACACTGTCTTTTAGGTAAACATCTATTTGGAAGGAACAGTAAGCCAGGAGACAACCTGCCCCCACATTTTAACTCTACCAATCCAACTCGGGAATAGCTCCCTCTGAATAATGCATTAGTTTTCAAAGTGCTCACTGCCACTGGGCCATACAATGTGACTGACTTCATCAGTGCTGGAAGGTCTGATCCACGAATGGGTAGTTTGCTTAATTCCACTAAGATGGCAGAAGTTCTAAATCTGGTGGGGGTAGGGGAGAACAACCTAGACATTTGAAAACTTGGCATCGACTGAGAAAAGCAGTTCAGTTTTAAGTGAAGCTACTTTGGGCTAAGGCAAGGGTTCTTATCCTAGGATCTGTGGACTCTAAAAACAAGTATTATTATAATTTCTTAGGCTAGGCAATGGAGTTGAGCGACTTGCCCGGGATCATACAGCTAGTAAGTGTCAAGTGCCCGAGGCTGTATTTGAACTCAGGTCCTCTTGATTCCAGGGCAAGTACTCTATCCACTGAGCCGCCCAGCTGCCCCCAAAACAACTATTTTGATAATCATATTTAAATATAATTGGTTTCCTTTGTAATTTACACATTCACAAACATTCTGAAAAGGGCTGCACAGGTTCAACCAGCCCGGCCAAAGGATCCATGGCACAAAAACAGTGAAGTACCCCTAGATAAAGGTATGGGAGATGATGAAGCCTTTATTTGAAACAAAGGTCTTGTTATGTAATCTGGGCTTGGCTGCAGAGTCTGAAACTTTTCCCCTAGGAATTAGGAATTAAGAGAAAGAGAAACATGAATGGGAGGGAGGGGGTTGGGGAGAAAAGTTTTTAATTTATCTTCAAGAAAAAAAATCAGTTGTCAGCAATTTAATCCACAAGTCTTGTATCTGTTCTTACCAGTTTATCTCTCTGTCGTTCCCCATGGATGAGAAAACCACTTCTTCCATTCCCTTCTGGGTGCATGACCTTGCAGACACCAACTCGACTGATACCACCTCCTTCTTGAGGTAACCATCCCCCACTGGAGTCATCTCGGGTCATAACCACAGCTTTGACACGAACAATATAGCTGTCACTAAAATGACAACAACAAAAATAACTTGGTAAGATAAGAATGTTATCAGCTTTGTCTCTTACCAATTCCATATAACAAACTCTTTCAGTGGGCCAATCAACCAATATCCCAAACAAGACCTGAGCATGAAAGCTAGCACTCATAAAATCAAGGGTTGATATTATCTTCTATGGAAAGACAACCTGGCATAGTGTAGAGAGTGTGGAAGAGACATAGATCAAAATCCTATCTCTGACATTTACTAGTTGAGACCATGGGCAAGTCATTTGACTTCCCAGCTCCAGTTGCCTTAGTTATAAAATGGTAAAATACTCATAGCAACATCCTCTTAGGGCTGTGGTGAAGATCAAAGAAACGATTTATATAAAGCACTTTGTAAACCTTAAAGTGCTATTTAAATAACAGCAGAAATCCAATACAGACTTTTCTTTTTAACTTGGATAAAACATTCCATAATTATGTAATTTATAAGTATTTTACTTTTAATAACAATGGATATTTACATAGCTTTTAAAAGTGTATAAAGAGTAATTAGATACCCATTCTATCACTGGATTCTCACAACAATCCTGTAAAGTAGTTATTAACGGTATTATTATCCTTTGCATTCAGAAAGGTTAGGGGCAGGCAGCTAGGTGATGCTGGTTTTGGGAGTCAGGAAGATGAGGGTTCAAATCCTGTCTCAGTCACTAACTAGCTGTATCACCCTGGGCAAGCTGGAAATGTGGGATAATAATAGCACTTAACACCTAGGGTTATCTCAAGGATTAAATGAGATAATGTCTGTAAAACACTCTGGAAACTTTCAGTGCTTTATAAATAAATGCTGGCTATTATTAAGTAACTTGTCATGCTGTACAAAGTTAGTGGATCCTGAAAATGGGATTTGAACCCAGGTCTCTGCCAGTTCAGGTTGTATGTATGTTCTTTCTATTAAAATAGTATCTTCTGACTTCTGACTTCTCTATAGGCAGAGATGGAAACTTCTCCATCTTTGGTATCCCCTGGTACTTTCATCATTTTCAATTTTTCCCTCTCTAAAAGAAGGAAAATAGACCAGGTGAAATCTAAGGACTCTTAGATTTAATAATCTGTATGTGACTTTGTGATCTAAGAATTGCATTGTATTAAATTTGTTTAAAAAGGAAAATATGTTACTTAGCAGGCAATTCATTACTATATCTTTCCATTACCATAACAAAAAAGATAGTTGCTTAAAAATCACCATAAAATGCAATTCCTTAATGATTCTTTGTTCATATTTTAAAATCTTATGGTCATCTGAAGGTATATACATCTATTTAAAAGGTTTAAATAGCAACTCATATAGCCTGTTTTCAAGGCAGTTTGGGGTACAAGCTTTGAAAATATAACCAGTTACACTATGTATTATGTGGCATCTATTAATTATACCACTCAGCTTGACTTTCCTAAAAAGGAAGGCCAGACGGTCTTTAACCCTTAAAATTTGACTTTACAAAACACTGATTCTCAACATTTCAGAAATCTAGTTATGTTTTGATATAAGATTACAAGGATGATAAACATTCAAATCAAAAGCAAATTACTAAACAGTTTATATAGCTTACAAAACATTTTCCTTCAACTATCTCATCTAAAACATAGCCTACTGTTTACCATTTTATTTGCTAGTCTAAATAACTTTAGTTTCACAATAAGTTACTCTGAAAACCTGCCAAAACCTGCTTCCTCCAGAGACCAAATCCAGCCTTTTCTTATTTGCTGTCACATTTTGGAACAATTATTTATTTCTACAAGACCATCAAATTGGTAATTTGTCTATTTGCATGTGATGGACAGTCTAGCCACATTTCATACATCAAAGGTGAAATATATACCCAAATACTTTTACAGTAATTTATCTTCAATTATTTTTGATTAAGTAGAAAATGTTTATAGGTTCACAAATGTCACAACAACTTGATGATCAAGCTATTTTCCCATTTTGCTCAAGGGAAAGCTGAGTAATAAAATTTCGATGCTTGTCAATGGTCAGAGATCAAATGAGGCGCAAGGTCCACCACAGACTTGGAATATCTCTCCTTGTATACAGATGCAAAATAGGAAAAAGGAGAGCTAATTATTTGTAGGTAATTCTGAGAACTAGGGTAGCCTGAAATTTGCATTCTAATTTTTTTTTTTAAAAAAACTTTTGGCAGCATGTTTCTGCAAAAATGTATAGAATTACCATGGTCTAGAAGAAAGGCTGCCCCTATTAATGGAAAATGAAGTAGAAAACTGAAGCAATTAACTGGATAATTCACACTTAGGAACTAGTTTTTTGACACATTGGCCTTGACTGCCCAGGAAAAACCAGTTTAGGAGGCTGGATTCCTTCTCTAGACCCTGGGCTTTGTTTACCACTTCTCCAGCTGGCAGATGTTAAGAAATGCTCTTTTACATTCTCCCTCCCCACAATCAGCTACACACAAACTTTTCTGTGTTCTTTGGGCATCTCTCCCACAGTGGCTTAGAAGAGGCTGGCTGAGGCATTTCCCAGAGTTAACCACACTGCCTTCCTAATCCCATATGTGTTACCGGTTCATTTTGACAGGAAATTACTAAGGTGCAGAACTCAAACCCCACACTCCTCTTGTTTAAACATGACCTGTCTTTTATGGAGCTTTAGGGGCAGTGGAGAGAAGAAAGGAGATTACAGGTGAAGAAAAAAGTTTGCATAACTGAAATTAATGCAATCCCTTTAACATTTCTCATTTACCAAGCAAAGATTAATTTTTAAAATGCTGGTAGAAGATTATCAGCCAACCCAAGAGATATCTTCCCCATGCCATCAATCCTACTGTAACTTTCTATTCTTTGCAAAATCTTCCTTCCTGTCCTCTTCTACTCCTACACCCTGCCTCCCATTGTTCCCCCAAGAATACACCAACCTAAAAAAAAAAATTGGACCAGTATGAACTGAGGCACTGAAGCATGTGGTTGGTTCTATAAAAGCAGCCAGAAGGGTTAAAGTAGAGCACTGAAAACTGAGGAGGAAACAATATCTGTCTGGATTATCCAGCTGCAGGGCAGCCAGCCAACTGTTTCCTATCAGCTCTGTATTTAAGGTCTTCAGTCATTCAACCCCACCCAGAACAAAAATGACAATGAACTTGAGGCAGACTATAGAACTAAAAGGTAGACTACAGAAAGAGCTCCCTCTCCCCCCAGACCCTGCCCCCACCCCTTTTTTCCTTCTGGGAGAAAAAAAGAAAATAACATCTGCTAAAAACACAGATGGGGTTATTGTGGGGGGAAGTCGGAAGGGACATGGACAAGGAAGGGGAATTTAGCTCTTGATCTGGTCAAGTAAAATGGCGTCTGTTTTCTTTATCAAAGGAGAGAGGGACAACAGTTTCAAGATGGGACCAATGGAGGAAAGTGAAGGCTGCAGAACCACATTTCTGGGTTACAGAATTTTAAAGGGACACATGAGGCTAGAAGATATGTCCTACAGGAAGGCCTTCTTCACAGGACCTATTAGACATTAACCAAAACTAAGTTTTTGAATTTTGCTCATATGGCTTGAGTTACTGAGGCTTTGTTATTTTTTCTTAAATCTTTCTTTTGTCTAGGTTTCCTAACTCTTCTTGTGATCCTGCCAAGTCAGTCAACCTTTCTGTGTCTCAATTAATGAACAAGTATTTATAACATACCTATTGTGTGCCTGGAACTATGCTAGGAAACTGCTGGGGATGCCAATACTGGGGGAGAGGGAAAGAGATCACAACAGGGAAGGGGAGTTGGGAAAAGATCTTGCAGTCAGAAATACCAGAATGCCTATAATTCCATTCAATAGTCATTTACCAAGCACCTATAACTATTATATACTTGTTGCTAGGCTTCCAATGAGTCTCTGCTTTCAAGGAAATTATATTCTCCTAGTATCAGAGACTAAAAATGGGGAACCTCAAAGGTATCCTAGCCCACCCCCCCTGCACCATAGCTGGCTCCTGTAAGATTTCCATGTGGGGCTGACTGGTCTCTGGGTTCCCAGCTTTCTCCTCATGCTGATGGGGTACAGGCTCTGGAACGCCCCCCACCCCAAAACTCTCCTTGAATTGCCCCATATGGTCAAGTGTCTGGTGTTCACCAGAGGCACTGACCCTTCCCTGTTAATTAACTGCCCTTGCTGTTCTGGTCCTTCTCTGTTATATAAAATCCATCTTGGCCTCCAATTCTTAAAATCTGGCCAATGACTCAGATTCAATATAGCCTGCTTGTCAATACAAGTGTCACAAATGTTCAGATTCCTTAGGAGTCTGGAAGAGGCCTTGTGGGCCACATGTTGACTTAGAAAGCTATGTATTATCTATGTTTTATTTTATTTTTATTTATTTTGTTAAATATTTCTCAATTACATTTCAATGTGGTTCGGTTGCACTTGGGAGTGATGTAGGTCTTGCAGGCAGTGTATTTAATACATCTTCCCTACATCAATGAAAATATATGTCTGGCAAAAAAATTATTTTTCTCTCTTCTATATCCATAACAAAAAGGAAATTTCTCTATGGAAAAACATGGAAATTAAACCGATTCAACTTTATCAATTTGTGGTATAATTAAAAAAACAAACCATAGAGAAGGGAAAGAACACCTTACCTCAAATCTTTTTCTTCCAAAAGGAAGCTGAAAGAGCAAGGGTTTAAAAAAAAAATCCACAAACTAGGGAAATGGTGCAACACAACGTTCACAGCACTGTTTTGTTAGTGTATTACAAAGTCAACTATGATTTGAATGTGGAGATGGCAGGGTTCAGACCCATGATCACATCCTCACTAACAATCAACAGCTTGATTTTACAGAATTGCCAGGGGGCACTGAGAGGTTAAGATATAGATGATGGTGAAGAAGAGATGGAAGAAGACACAGTTGCTAATGGATCTTGAATTTTGTGTTCACAGTCTTGGAGTACATGTAGAATGTCAGTGCCTCTTAAACCAAGAGGTTCTTTTGTTTGTTTGGGGGCTTAAAGGGAA